GAGAAATATATAGAGAAGATAATGATCGTTCATTTCGTAATTAGTTAATTTGACATGTAAAATAATCAATCAAATAGAGAGATGCGGTCAAGTTGATTTATCTATGTATCTGTGTGTGTGTGTGTGTGTGTGTGTTTTCTTTTTTTGTAAAATAATTTTCTACGTTTGTTTCCTATTTCGTATGAATAAAACTTTGATTAGACGTTTCATAAGAAAAAAAAAATATCTCTGGGAGGAAATAATAATAAAAAATTGTTCTTATCGTTGTCATAAGTTTTGTGCATAACTGTATAACAGATAGAGAGAGAGAGAGAGAGAAAGAGAAAGAGAGAAATAGTTAAATGCACCGAAAATCTCGAGATATCCGAGACGATCCTTCTAACGCAAGCCAATCCTTTTTCACAGAAACTTCATTTCCTCAGGAAAATTGTTAAAGTAACGACTAGAGCGTTGCGATTAGGTACATACCCTACTCTCTACCCTACTCTTTAGCTTACACCCTTCCTCCATCTTCCCCTATCTCTCTGACAGACATTCTTACCCTTCGGGCTATTTCACGATAGCTCAAGAATTTCTCTCAGATTACTTTTGCAATATTAATCAACTTTCATTTCGTTACGCGTTCCTCTTTTTTTTCTTTTCTTATTTTCTTTTTTTTTTTTTTTCTTCTTCTTTCCCCCCCACCTTCCCTTAACGCAACTACTACGCCCACCTTCGCGCCCAAATTTAATCTTATCTTCCTATTTTTTTTTTTTATTTTTGTTCTTTTTTCTTTTCACCATTAGAACCGTAATTTCATTTCAAGATGCGTTAGAGAATTTTATTTCTTATTTATTTTTTTATTACTTACTATGAGTATCATAAAGTCTTATCGACGAACGCGTTGAACTTTTTTTTCTTCCTGTTTAAATTCTCGACGTTAATTTATTTTATTTTGTCTTATCAGAATCTTACAAATTTTCGAACAAAATACGTCCCATTCTTTTTCATTTCTTCTCTTTTTTTACCTTTTTTTTTTTTTTTCCATTACCCGATATGTTTTTCCTCCGAGTAATAATAATTTTTTACGAAATAACATGTAGAAACATCGAATACAAACAATCCTGTTTTCATATCATACGTTTCACGTTGGAATACTTTTTTTTTGCGTTTTTAATAAAAGAGTAAATAAAAAATAAAAAAAAAGCAAATATCGAACGCTTTTCATTCTAACCATTAATTCTAAACTTCATTCTTTTCTATTGTAAAGAGATATTTTTTCGTTCTCTCTATGTATTCGATAGAAAACAAAAATTCTATGCTTTGTTTCAACAGTTACCCTTAGACTTTCCCCCTTTAATTTAGTTGAATAAAAAAAACCTCCAAAAGAAAGAAAAAGCAACAAAAACAAAAAATGCAAAACAACGAGGAAACCTTTTTTAGTTGGTTGGTTTGGTTGGTTGGTACGTTTTCTATTAACAATCGGCACCAACGGAACCGGTGGTTCCGCATCGATTTAATTTTACGACGCGATTTTGCTAACCGGTTGCTGGTACTGGTATTCTGGTACTGGTTTTGGTTCTTCTGTGCACTTATGCTTCTTTTCCTACCAACTATTCCCAAAACGTCGACGATTTAGAACGAGGAAAAATCGAAAACGATACCGTACGGTTTCGTTTTATTTTAAATTATATCATCGATTACTTTACTACGATCGAATCAATCATGCTAACTAAATTAATACAACAAACCTCTCTAATCTAACAAGAAATATTTTGTTATTATCTTTGATAACGTATATCAAACTTCAACGTGAATGAAAATCAATTTAAAAATAAAGAAAATTATCTTTCGTTCAAAGTAAACAGACTCAGAACAGGAATCATTAATTTTCTGTATTTTTTTTTCATCCTCGTTTAGATTTTTATTATTTTATGGTAAATAAAAAAGAAGAAAAAAAGATATTAAGGCAAATATTACATTTAAAAGAAAAAAATAAACCACTCGTATGAATTTCGTTAAATATATTTATAAGAAGTAAGAAAAATATTGTTGTTATTTAAAAACCGTTCGCAAATAATTCATCGATAAAATATTACAACCCCATCCATCGCTTTTAAAACCCGTAATAGAAAAACTACTACAGAAAACCATGAAAAAGAGATATGTAAATATTATGGAAAATGAAAAAATAAATACATAAATAAATTATATATAAAATCAATATATTATACAAGTGGTTGGTCATTTTTTTTAAGATAAAAATTTGTTCTTTTTTCTTTTGTACGTGTTTAATCACGAATAATAATAATAATAATAATAGTAATAATTGGTAATCTTTAGAGGAAAAAGGGAAGACCAAAAAAATATTTTAAGATAGTCATCTAGCCTATTTAGAAAATGAACAACTCCGATATGGTTTGACATCATTGATGGGGAGGAAAATCATCGGGTCTCGTTTTTCGCAAATCGTAGAAACGTCGGAAGTTAGATTATAAATGACCTCTCTTATCTCATAAACGACCTTTCCCGAAGTAGCCTGAAAACGAGTCGTTTTATCGTAATTACCAAAAATCGTATTTTTCTTTTGACCCCTTTCAACCCTCGGGAATAAAAGATTCGTGTCTTTTATTTCTTCTCTTACATCTTTCCCTTATTTTTTTACTTCTTTTTTCATTTATTATTCTCCTATAAAAAAAGAAACAAAAAATCCAGTCTCATTTTAATTCGATTATCAACAGAAAATTTTCATTTTGATAAATTTTTATTGTATAACACAATTATATTCATATAATACAAATTTAATTTTTCCTCGATTTAAATTAATTTTTAGATAGGATTAGAAAAATTTTTTAAGATCAATTTGATTTTTTATTTTCAACGGAACGATATATATTTTTCAATATACCTATTAAGAAAAATTACCCCCACACACTTTATTTTCTCAAATTTCTCCACTCGACGATTTTTTTTTACACGAGCACGAGTATTTTCGCGACACTAAGTATATAGACTCTATAATATTATCTATATACTCTTTCACTATAATAAACTGACAGATGTACACTATAACGTTGTTAATATAATTTTTAATTGATTTTTTATAATTCTAAATTTAGATAGTTTTGTTCAAATTTATGATTAAAATTCTTTATTAACAAAATTATTATTTGAAAGTTTCGTCTTTTGATGCATCTTTTTTTCTATCAGCAATTAAAATTGAGTTATTCAGGTGGCCTATTTTAAATTACTCAATCGGTATATGTTTACTTATAAAACACACACTTATACATATATATATACAGACAAACATACATAAACATATATGTACTTGATATCTCTTGGAGATTTTCTAACTATAAAGAAGTAGTACATTATAAATAAAAATCTCGTTAAAGTATCTTTTCTCTAATTTATAGATTAAATTATAGGTAGTTACACAGAAATAGATACTCCACATATCGGTCTATAAATAATGCGTAAATCGATATGCATCACTCGTTTGAACTTCTTTATAGCTAACTATATAATATATGTGTACCACATAATCTACTAAACTACATATTTAGTTTGACCATTTGGCAAAAAGGAAAAAATATTGTTAATTTAAAAACGTATATATTATAATAATAAGTAAAAATGTAAATGAAAAAATGAATAAATGTACGAACGAACAAAATGAATAAACGAACGAATGAATGAAAATGTAACAATAACGCAAGCGCGTTAATGGCTTTGAATTAAAAGCCTTTTGAATTCCATAAAACACAAAAAAAGGAAAAAAGAAATAAAATTCGTTTCGCACAATTTTTTTTGTTCGGTCTTCAAATGTTCTTTTCGAAAGGGCTCGAAATAAAAAAAAAAAAAACTAAAATAATAAAAAATAAAATGAAATGATAAAAAAATAAAAAAAGATTGAAAAATAGAAAGAAATTACATTGGAAAGAGAAGGAGGAGTAGGAAGTGGAAGGGGAGGGGAGGGAAGAGCATTGCAGAGAACGTGAATGTGGTAGAGTTGCGGGCAGGAGAGAAATTAAAACAAGCTGCGGGTGAGTGCACTAAAATGAAGTGTCTATTCGTTGTTCAGACTTAATTGAAAATGAAATTATTTATCATCTTTTTTTCTTTCTTTCCCTTTTTTTTCTTCCCCTCCCCATAGCGATAGCCAACTTGCGAAAGCCTTTGAAGTACACTCGAGTACTCTCTCTCTCTCTATCTCTCTCTCTCTCTCTCTCTCTCTCTCTTTATTTGGTCTCGTTACGGCATTTAAGCTGACGTTGCTATTCGTACCGTAGTAATCGTCGAAAGAATGCTTTTTTCAACAAAAAAAGAAAAGGATTTGCTGCATTCACTTGGAAAGAGAAAAAGAAAGAGAGAGAGAGAGAGAGAGAGAGAGAGAGAAGGTGAAAGATTATTTGAAAAGAACTTTGATTAATCAAGAATATATATATATCTATATATTCGTACGTTTTTTGCTAAAGAAAAATTCCTGTCTCTCTTCTTCTTCTTTTTCTTCTTCTAGTAAAGTAAATTAAAAGAAATAAAACACACACACACATTTTCTATCTATTCTACGTAATCCCGAAAGAAAATTATTCACCAACAACTACAACTACAATTACGACGATGATATTTCCAAAATAATTGCCCACCTTTATCACATTTGTTAACATTAAACGTGACGAATCAAATAATTGATTGTCAATTATTTTTTGTGGAAGGAAATTTGTTACAAGTTATATTGTGATATTTGATAAGTTATAATAAACGTGACGAAATTTATTTTTCTTTTTTTCTTATCGAAGAAAAATGTTTAGCGAAACGAAGAAGAATGGGTTTAATAAAAAGATTAAAATAAATTATCGAAAATGTGAGGCGTGCTTTAAGGGATCGAAGGGTTTAAATAGTTAAAATGTTAAAGTTTATAACTACGACTACGGAAACGATAGAAAACGTGGTATGAAGGGATAGGGGAAAAAAGGACGGTTTATATATAGAAGATTTAATATTCATCGACTAACCTTGAAATTCTTTTCGTGCCGCGCTGACCGAAGTTACGATGTTAGCCACGTGTCCTAGTACGGTGGCGAATAGGAGTAGACCAAAAAGCAGCTGAGCTATTACGAAGAGATACTCGCCCTTGCTTCTTGGCCTAGAAAAAAAAAAAAAAGTCACGCAGGGTAAAGTAAACAAACCTTGTTTCTCTTTCTCTCTCTCTCTCGTGTTTGACGTTTGAGTGAGTTAGTAGACGCAGTGGGGGTGGAAAAGGGGGGTTGGAGAGTCGATGCACGAAAAAGAAGAAAGAAGATTTGTCATATTTGTTCTTCCTCTCTCTCTCTCTCTCTCTATCTCATAAAAGAAGAAGAAGAAGAAAAGAAAGGAAGAATAAAATAATTTGTTTATATTATCATTCGTTACCTGGGTAAATCGCCAATGGTGGTTAGTGCCAACGTGCACCAATAGTAACTTTGTAGATACTGTTTAACAACGTCAGCGGTTTCGGAATCGTTGAATACCCAATTCTTACTGCCGAAACCGTTGTTCTTATAAATAATGTGATAGAGGCACCCGTTCCAGTGAAAGATCACCAGCAAATAATGTATCAACGAGGTGGAACGAAATAAATTCGGATAATTCGTGTGTCGTTCGGTCCTGTCCATGAACGCCCAGAACCTGTGTCAAACCGATCGAACGACAACAGATCTGATCATAATATATTTCATTATTATTTATCCGAACACAAGTGGATTTTTATTGGTAGTTGGTGGATTGATATAATAAAAATAAATAAATATATATATATATATATGAAATATTTATTAACCCATTTGCATATTGTAAAGAAATATTCAATAATTTCATTGATAGTAACTTGTGTTTCGATTATTTTTGAAAATTATTATCAGAACTATTACTTATATTTTTTATACACTTTTTCCAAACTGGAATCTTACCAGGTAGAAACTAAACAACAAACGTTCAAATTCCTAAACCCTAAATGAACAAACACGTAGGTACATTCGTTTTCCAGTCAATTTTAGGAGCAATAAAAAAAAAAGTTGATTGCATGTACATCTCACGGTGGATAGGTAAGAAGAAAATGGAGCATGTATAATACACGTACGCTAATGATGCAAATGGGTTAAAGAAGCCGGCTGGAGGAAGGGGGAGGAGGGATGGGGTAAGATTTTGGCGTTAGGAGGAAGAAAAAGAAAAAAAAGAAAAAAGAAAAACGGGTTAAGACAAGAAAAAGTTGAACTAACCGGTAAATTTTAACGAGTCTAAAACTTCTCAGCATACTGTTGAATCCTATAGATAAGTATAAAAAGTCGAGGGGCAGCAGGCACAGAATGTCTATGTAAAACGTAGTGCTGTTCGTATAATGATTCCGTAACTTGGTCGCGTCAGTTTGTAAAACGCCATCCTCCAAATATCCGGTTCTTATATGAAATATTATATCCAGAACGTATAAAAAATCCGAGAAATAGTCCAGGCAGAACCAAATCCAGCGGGTTTCGCCTAAGCGTGTAAAAAAAATGATAGGAAATAGATTGAAAACAATTTACTTGTACATATTCGTAAAAAAGAGGGGACACGAATAAAATTCGGACAAATTATATATATATATTTAACGTTTTATTTGAAATATCTAATCTCAAAATATACGATGATCAAAGGGGGATAGGATAGTTTAAAGATAAAAGTAAGATTCACTGACCGTTTATCTCCTGGAAGGCAAACCTATAGATGATGACCCAAAAGTTATAAAGGAAGGCTAGGGAAACCACCATCGACCAATAATAACAAAGTCGTCCCGCTGGGTCGAAGATGAATGACCAATTGGGTGCACCTGTACGAAAACCTTTGGTTCCAGCATGACTAGGAAAACCACGACTACCTCGTTGTTGTTGCTGCTGTTGGGCTGTGTACCTACTAAGAATATGAACAAAAGTATAAATGAATTTATCTATTAAATGTATTAAATATGAAGATAAAAGGAATTTAAGTAGATCTTCTAGGATACTAACGTTTCGGTGCCATTACAGCTGACATTACTGAGATGATTGATGGAGGCCGGCGTATGAAGTTGCGAATGATCACGCGACGGGGTTGCAGCTACCGTATAGGGCAACTTAATTCTACTTCTTTGCTGGTCCCTCCTTCTTGGTTTCCGACTGAGATCCAATTCGCTAGCACCCCGATTAACGTATCCACCCTGAAGGGAATCTCGGGACGAGCCAAAGTATCGCTGCGACACAGAGTATACCTGGACGAAGCACTAAGCTGCTACCACTCGCGAGAATCAAGCCAACGCTAGCGTCAACATCGATTATTTTTTTTGTTTGTTTTATCATTCAATATTCATTATTTTCATTGAACTTCCTTAGAAGAGGAAAAAAGTAACTAATCCGTTTGGAAAAGTAAAAAGAAGAATAATAAACGATAAAGACGCTTAGTATTGGTCGTTTGAATCTCGCGTGCAAGAGCTTTTGACGACAATATTTTATATATATATATATATATATCACGAATATTTAAACAAAGCCAAGAAGAAGAAGAAGAAAACAAACCTGCTGAACCTGTTGTTGATGATAATAATGATGAGTGGGCGTATGTCTACCCATGATTTTATGGCTAACAAGATCCAAAAGACTTTGTCTCGAGTGTAGAACCCCTCTGGAGACGCTTTCAGCACTTTTCGCGCTTTTCGTATCATCTTCCCTTTCTCTACCTAACACCGATCTTCCCCCACCCATTCCCATTCCCATTCCCATTCCCCCCATACCCATTCCCATTCCTCCTGCTCCTCCTCTTCTTCCTCCTCCAGGTGTCTCGCCGATACCACCATCCCTGTATTTATCGACGACGTCGTAGCCCAATGCGGAAGCTGAACCGCAACTTAAACGGTCGATCGCACCCCCGGTCGTCGATCCGATACCACCTGAAAACTCACACACGTGTCAAACTAAATCTATAATTTTCTATTATATTTCTATTACGTTTAATCTTAATCGACTATATTGTTAAAATATATATATATATATATATATAGGAATAATAAGTTTTGATATAGGAATCTAATATTTATATTTCAATTGCGGTTCAAACAAATCATTTTAATTTAATATTATATTATATATAGTATATATATTTTATAAACCTCAAATTGATTATTCTATGTCACTAATGATTTACGTTTAATCTTAATCGATCATTGTTAAAATATATAGGAATAATAAGTTTTGATATAGGAATCTAATATTTATACCTCAATTGCGTTCAAAAACAAATATTTCAAATTTAATATTATGTATATATATATTACAAAATAATTTAAATCGTATATCTCATATCAGCAAACTAATATTTACATTTCACAATTACAATATTCAAACAAATATTTTAAATTGAATATATTATGTATTATTCAAAAATCATTTAAAATCATATATCTGATCTTTTGTTATACGTAAAAGTATATTTGAATAGCGTTGGAAACATTGCCGAAGTTTGAACAAACCGTCACGAAAGAAAAGATCAAATCTAGATGGTGGAAAACGGAAATTTTCATCTATTCTCATAAATTTCTATGCGTTTGCGTCAATCAAATTTTACTATGATAACTAGATATATGGTATGAACACACGTAGGATAGGTGAATGCACGTAGAATACATATATAAAAGTAGGTACGGGTAAGATATTATATAAAAGAAGTTCGGTTAATCAAAGATAAAGTTTTTTTCTTTTCAATAGGCATGAAGAAACGTACGTCACGGTTAAAAATTGCGTCTGCGAGCGTGTCCCTATTTCTTTATCTCTCTCTCTCTCTCTCTCTCTCCCTCTCTCTCTCTTTCTTTCTTTTGCATGTAAATAAATCGTTTGAACTTATTTTAGTCAAAATTCACGTGGGACAAGTATCCGAAAGCAACCTACGTCGTAGACGTCGTCGTTAAACGTCTACTATATTTATTATACCAACAGCAAACGGGAATTCGAGAGAGTGCGAAGGTATCTGTTGAGGTTTGGTTAGAAAGAGAGAAAATAAAAATAAAAAAAAAACAAAGAAAAAGAGAGAGAGAGAGAGAGAGAGAGAGAGATACAAAAGTATGCGAAAAATGTTTAGGAAAAGGTTTGAATTTCATAAAGTATCTGAAAGACTTTAACTACGAAACATTTTCCCGTGTTATCATCGTCGTTATTGTCATTAATATTTATTAAAAGTTTTCTTCACTGAGGTGAATGCAGGCTTCAGTTAATTTTGTCTATCATAGAATCCGATTAAACGATACCCGTACGATATATCTCGTGTACCCTAACCTTTCTACCAAAATTTCCGTTTATACGAACCAGAGTCGTTTAACGATAATGAAATGTTCCGACGAAAATCGAATTGTATTGACGCATACGCTCGCAAACCACATACCACGTACGCACACACACACACACATTTGTACGCGTATACAATTTGTCTGGTATTGAACATCGGCAACGTAATCCCGATCGAAGCTACAGGTTGGGATTGACGCTGACGTCATTGCATAAATTGCAGCTCGTATATCAGCGGCACGTAGTAGTGTGTAACCTGCAAAAGCTTTAGCTTGCAAGATGCGCAAGCTCGCGTGACGCACGGGGAGTCAAACGTTTTGTAACGATTAAAGATTCGTTCGGTGTGGTGCTGCACATATTTAACACGCACCAATCACGTTACAAAACGTTGTTGTTGACCGTTTCGAGATCGATGGACGTGCATTTTAATATTCCTCCGACTGCACTTTTTTTCTTGCCTATAGCTATTTTAATGGTTTTTTACTTTTTCTCTTTTTACCCTCCTCTCGTACCTTCATTTTTTAACCACAGAAAATATTTCATATAATATTTTTCAATATATCACGGTTTATAAGAATTTAAGGAAAATAAAAAAAAAAAAAAAAAAAAAAAGGAGAAAAAGAAGAAGAAGTAGAAGAGAGTACAGAAATACAAAATAAAAGTCAATTTTAATCGGACAATATTTCGAATAAGATATTTTTTAATACCGCGTTATTTACCCGTTGACGAGTATCTTTTTTTGTTGATAAGTAAAGAACAAAAGAAAGAAATAAGTAACGGGAAAAAAAAACAAAATAAAAGTCAATTACTTTGAAATTTGTTCGTGAAGAAGGAACGAAGGTAAAAAGAAAAAAGAAAAGGAAAATGAGCTAGACGACCAGGATCTTTCGTCCTATTTACGAAATGGCGAGATACTCGACGGAATAAAAAGCTTTTCTATTTCGAACGAAATCCAGTCTATCTCCTGAAAGCAGTAGCTTTTTCTTAAAAGTATTAAGAAGGCGGTATTAAATACATGAGATTTTTTTCATCAATAAAGTGTCTCCTCCTCCTTACGAGTTGCGAGCTTTACTTTCTTCTATTTTTTTTTTTTTTTTTTTTTCATTAATCCTATTTCATCGATCGAATTTAGAAACACGTACGATTTCAAACGCATTGGAAGAGTATTGGTTTGTCTGGAAAATAATTGCATTACTTAATGTCTGATCATATACGGGCTTGACTCGTACTACTTAATGTCTGATCATGTACAAGGCCTAACTCTTACTACTTAATGTCTGACAGTATACGAGAAGGCTGGCGCTTACTACTTAGAAATGAATGACCACTTAATAGGCGTCTGACTCGTACTACTTAAACTCCTAAATATGAGTAAATGATTGTTTATTTATCATTGAAAAATAAAACTACTTTTCGAGTAACCTATTATATTCAAATTATTTATTCGTTCTCGAATGAAAATGTGTAATAAATAAAATATCATTCATGAAAATTGATATTTTAAAAACACCGAATAGATGGAAAATATTTGTTTGTTGTTTAACATAATTATGAATGAATTTTGATAATTGTATTACATTAATTAATCAACGTTGAGCTGTACAACGTCGAGATTTATTTAACGCAATAGTAAATAGAAATGAAAAGCAAAAAAGAAAACGAATCGAAACAAATATTGCAGAATATTTGGAATAAATGTTATTAAAAAAAAAAAAAAAAAAAAAAAAAAAAGAAAAAAGAAGTAAAAAAGCTATATCGCCAACTGCATAGAATGATTCCAATAAGATAATAGAAATTTACATTTCTATTCGTTTACACGAATACACGATGCAACAATGAAAATTTGCGAACAAGAGGTAAGCTCGTAAAATGTTTAAACGCGAATATAACACGGATTTATTCGCAGGTAAGGTAATGAAAATGTAAACGTGGCGAATCATTGCATATCATCATTAATAAAATCGTCTAATTGAAATTGCATTTTTAAAGTTCCAATTGAAATTGAATTTTGTCATTTGCATTTTCTAAATGCCAAAAATTTCTATTCACGAATCGAACATAATTTAATGCTACGAAACAAAATTTAATTTACCAGTCAAGCTCGATAATAATGTTAGGACAAAAAAGTATTATGAATGTATTGCGTAATTATTGTTTTATCCAATAAAAAATGAAAAAATAAATGGAATTATTTTGCACGAATATATATATATATAAAATAATCAACAATGTACGCGAGTTATTTTGCTTGCCGTGATATTGTTTCATGTTTCATATTAGATATAGTTAACTTTGTGTGTACGTATATGTGTGTATGTGTATCTACCACGTATCACCATGTGTGTCTATACGTCAAGATCGTTTATTCTTGCCAGAAGAGCTTGTAACGATGATAGAAGGAGTTTAATTGCAACGCATATAGGTTCTTACCCCTCTCCCCCTTTCCAACCCCTTTTCTCACATACTCTCTTTCTCTCTCTCTTTTCCTCTCTCTATCTCGTGTTAGTAGTGGAAAATATCGATTATCTTGTAAAGCAAACGTTAAAAAGATGGATGAGAAGAGGATGATGTTGAAAACTTCCATTTTGCGATATTTGAGAAGCCACGAAAGAAAGTGGATTAGACAGGATAGGAATATTATTTTTCAATTTCATTCGGGATAAAGAGTTTCGCTATTTTCATACGCCGTAAGCTTAAAAATTAGATTTTCTTCTTCTCCTTCTTCTTCTTCTTCTTCTTCTTCTTCTTCTTCTTCTTCTTCTCCTTACTCCTAGCGAGTAAACGATATTTTATTATCCGGCTAGCGCGCGCGCGCGCGCAAGGGGTTTTTTTATGTATTTATATATCGTTGAAAAAAGATTGCACGGTAGTTGTTGTATTACTTTCTTCGAGATGATCGATCTCTGACAAAATAAATTCATTTTAAATAAAAATATTCTTTTCGAGATACAAAATGCAACATATACGATTAATATAATGATATTTCACACCATTACCGGTCCCCATATTATCCTTTTTCCATCTTTTCTATTTCTATATTCATACTTGTTGTTTTGTTTTTAATCTACTATCGATAATTGAATAAACCGATACGAGTTAAAACGATTTGCTTATCGATTTTGTTAAAAAAAAAAAAGAAAAAAAGAAAAATGACGAGCCGGTTGGATGAAACATTAAAACCTTTCGTTACGGTACTTATATATATTTTTACTTATTTTTTTTTTATTAAAATATATTTATAATAGGGTTCAATCATAATACGAGTCAAGTAGAATCGAATAAGAAATACTCACAGCAAATGAAGTAGAATCTTTTTGCCGACTATAGTTGGCACCGGTAATGAAACGATTAAAAACAGTTTGTTCTTTTTCGTCGTTCGATTACCTTTGTTACACTGTTCTTCACTTTTCTTTCATTCTAATTTTTTATTTTGTTTCTTTCTATTATTATTATTATTATTATTATTATTATTATTATTATTCCAAGATTAAACGAGCAAGCAAAATATAAATTCGAATGATTTAGTATTCCCGATTCAAAAGGAAAAATGGCGTGGCGGATAGGGAAAAAAAAAAAAAGCGTTCGTTCGTTCGTTCGAAGGATTGCGCCCTTC